TGATCACGGCAACAGAACTTACCATCATGCGTCGTTATCGCTAGATATGTACTGATATATACCAGTTTCATTGAGACATTGAGAAATTGAACTACTCAAACAAGATTGGGATAAGTCAAGCCTAGAGAGACGCTGGCTTCAAAGCTGTCAGTGATTCTATGTGCGGCGAAGCAGGATATTGCGGAATTCGGCTAGTTGGGGTACCGTGTGTTCGAGACATGTGTCAATCTCACCCCGTGGCTGATTGGAATACTGCATGATACACTATATGATGTGATCAGTACCACCTGAAATGATCTAGATTGGGAAGGACAAACGATACCAACTCCGTGAGAGCTGACTATACAATTTAGGTGGTACTGAATAAAGAACGTACCTATGAAGCGAAAGCAAAGCACCGAGGGCTCTGGTCAGCCAGTTTCAGGGAAGGCGCAGTCAAGATGACGAATTGGATCCCTGCACTGCATGGTAGGCATAAAGTTACGGATCGTGTTGCATTTCGCTTTCACATCTACATCCATCCATCCCGGAACGCTGAGAGATTTCGGGGAGCCTGAGGCAAGCGTTTCATTTTAGTCAAATTTTAGTTTGATCGAAGAAGATACATGTGATGAAAGGGATCGGAGTTGAAATTTGAAAGTGCGAAACTGGCATTCCTGGCACGTGAGCAGGTTGCTCTCTTAAAACGATGATAAGTCGATGTCCTTGACCTTCGAAACCTCGACCTGGAAGCTTTTCGAAGGTGCCATAATTCCCGTCAATCTCTTGGGTACGTATCCAGACAGACGATAACTTACTAGAACCCCTTACTCGATTAGATGTCTCTGAGCGAAAGATGAGAAGTTAGAACAAGCTAACGGTTCTCTTCCCCGTAATTCTTAGTCACGTAAATCACGGTGACGCTTTGGACTCTAATCAAGAGGAACTGTGGCACTCGACACACATATTTGTACCGCCTTCGGAACAGTGCCTTCAAATACCTGTTTGGACAAGTAGACTGCAAGGTACGTCTCGATGAAACAAGACAGCGCGTTGATTATTGACTCCCTTATATGCCATAGCAGCAGGAATTATAATTTGGCACGTCATGGTGACGTGATTTTCCATCGGAAAACACTCAGGAAAAGCTCATAATAATATATAGTACGTACGACTTCTGCGCCGATCGCGTCGGTCTACTCATAGGAGGTTATCCTATTTAGTTCCTACTTGTCAAATCGGCATGTTGCCTTCCACTCATTCTGTTGGAAACCAGAGGCAAGTCATCATTCCGAACGTTCATCGCTCAGCGCTAGTTCATCCCAACCAATCACGTCGAATGAATTTTGCAATGCTGGATACTTTCCGAGATGGTAAGTGCGGCTTGTGGGGAAATGGGCGCTTGAATTTCCGACGTGTACGTATCGGGCACTGCAAACTTCAGTGCCTTCACATTGCGGATGCCAGTCTGGGTCCGTTCGTTTTCCTGTCGATAAAAACAGGAAACGATAACCTCGTGTATCTAGAGCTCGTCTGCAAGCTTCGCACTCTTCATTCCCAAAAGTCAAAGCAAACAATCTCGGTTGACTTTACGTCAATAATAGACGGCCTTGATGCGCATGTTATCACTGCTAGATGTTCCACAGTTGAGAGATTGAGATGCGGTGAGTGCTCAGCTCTGCTGATTATCCGCCTTCAATCAGGTGCTGACAGCTAGTATGAAACGCCTGCAACATGACGCCTCACCTTCGTTATCTTTTTGGTTTGCAGGTTGCCTACCCACTTTCTGACAAAACGGACTGTTAGGCTAGGGAGCGGCCGCCCAGTCGCTTACTTTCCTCCTTCTCTCAGTTTTATCCCTCATCGAAACTATAACGGCTACCTCTCACTCTTGGCAATATGCTAAGGTGTGGCGTTCTCCAATGTGTATTGATTTTCCATTCCTCTGTTCCTTTTGATATCCGTTGATCGATAGGCGGGCAGTGAGCAATATACCTGTCGATTCAGCTTGGTGCGTTACAGGCGCCATTCGACAAATAAAAGGCACTCAAATATGCTCGCTGTTTCTCTCCAAACTAATGACCCAGCTCAACATTGAGGGCGCATCGCTAACGCATGATAAAGGTTTTCACCGCAGATATATCGCAACAATGAGTGTATGTTCAAGCGTTTGATTTGTTTGATTTGTTCATTCGACGTTACTTATATCGCTGTCTTATAGGTCGGGTTCCTAATATACGGTAATGTTCCTCAGTGCTCCCAATCGTAGGCTATGCCAATCTTTTCTCCAGGTGTTTATTTTGTTCTCTTTGCACTGAGTGCGTGTACTCTTCGAAGTAAGAAGCGTTGGAAACACCTCTTCCTTCTTAGCGTACTCTTCGTCTTCACAACACTGAGCCTGGTTTTCAATACTGTGATTATCAAGAGTTTTACATCACCAATAGTAATATATTCAGAGCTAGCTTGGTTAGTAGTTTTTGATACAGCATCTTTTCGCAGGCGTCTCCACTAACAATTGCCACGACAGGAGAACAACAGCCCGCTTGGGCTTTCTCTTTCTTTCCAAGTACGTAGCAAGTTAATGCCGCGCAAGATTCTTTACTAATGCTCTTGAAGTATGCTAGCAAATGGTATACTGGTATGTAGCCTTCCCTAATCAAGCGACCATGGCGAACATGGAAATTTAAGATTTGGCGATCGTATCTGGTCTGGGGAGAAAGCCGCAAAATTGTGATCGTCCCCGTCATTCTATGTGTCGCAAATCTCAGTACGTTTCACCTGCTTTTAACTGAACCTATATCGACTCGAGACGCTTATAGCCCTTCAAATATACGGACTATGCCAACTCCATAAAGACCTCAAGCGAGGCACCATACCATCATTTCCCTTCTTCATGATCCCGATTCCCAGTCTTGAACCAGCTGACTCGGAGGCTGTCACTTACATTGGCTACGTAGTGGACCTCAACGCTGCATTTATTAATTTATTACTGACTGCAATACTTGGTATGCGATTATCCTGCTAATGATATATGACTATCGATATCTGATTTCCTACGTCATCAGGAGGTCGAATATTCTACATAGCTCGTCAGGCAATGGCCATCCTCGGATCTCCCGTTAGACGTCTGTACAAGCTCGTTTTGATTGCTATGTACGTTGTCCATGTTCACGCGTTATGCATTGTGTTCATTTTTGTCCTGCTCTTAGTGTTGAATCGGGTATGATATACGCTCTCCCACTCATTATATACACCACAATGCGTATGGGTACATCAACAAATACCAGTCAGATTATGGGAATGGAGCTGACAGTGATGGTTATTGTCGTGTTACGGACTTCGCTCAACTCAATAGCTGTGAGTTGCTTTTTTTTCGCATCTTTCATGTGGACTAGGACTTAAGGCAGCTCATAGGGAATCTCTCAGACATTCATTATCGTACGCATAGCGCTCGGTCGTAGCTTTACAAATGTCGATGAAGCCCTGGTATCGTTCAATCGGGGCCCTGGCACGATCGCCTTCACTAGGAATCGGACAGAGTCAATAATACCGTCGCTTGACGTAGAGGCAGGAGCGCACTTATCATAAAGTATTTAAATGTTTATATATTGAAAATTTAGTTCGTAATACATTGCAAGTAGCATCCGAAAAGAGGAAGAGTGACGTCTGAACCATTACAGCATGCCTTATGTTCTAACTCGCTTGTTGCCTGGTTCTCGAATCGCTCACACCATCGTCCCCCTGCCACGAAACCATGCTACCCTGATAAGGAGATGGCATGTCAAAGAATGAGATTATTACTGTACTATAGCGTTAATAGCTCCTGGAGTTGAGTGGACAAGGGGAGGCGCGGAAGATCACTGCTAGGGTACGCCTGGACGGATGGCATACAACTCCAGTAGAAAGGGTGTAGCCGGAAATACTACGACTTCCTCTCTCCGAACAAAGATATGATTAGGGATTACTAATGATGAGAATCCGAATACAGGATGGCCATAGACGATGCCGCCGTACCTTCCCATCAGCGGATGATGCCTGTGAGCTATACCCATTGTCGATATTGCAATAAGCCAGAAGGGAGATCTAGAAAGGGCGGTTGGACAATGGGAGAAGTGGGCAGGAAAGATTCGGACGTACTTGATGACTCGTTGACGGACAAGGAGTGTACGACGTTGTTTACTGTAATCCGATTCTCCAATGCGAACTTGCTACGATAAACCCCTAGACTAAGCAACTAACAAGGTCAACACACACACCGGAATGCAAGCCATGAAGTCCGTATTGATTCGTCTCTTAGCTGACTGAGGCGTCTTGTATGTTGGAAGCTGGTAAGAGTTATGTTGGAGTTATGTAACAGTACTGACTGTATTTTTGGCGCTAAGTTAGACTGAGAGAGGCAAAGATGTGTGGATGTCGGGCGTGAAGTGGAAAAAAGACTGCAGATTTGACGTCTTGGTCGAATCAGAAAAGAAAGAACCAACTTCCCACGTGGCATCAATGGAGCGTTCGGATCCGCTCGAGCCACTCGCTCCAATCGATTGATGCAAGCATGATAATCACTTTTAAAGCTTCTTATAGGATTCGCCCGCCAATAGTCTATAATCAGAGCGACTGCCCTTCAACTTTCCTAGGGAGGGGAAGGCTTCCCCTCTCCTGTATGTGCGGCATGGAAAAACTAACAGTAGTCCGCATTCACTGATAACTGGCGACGTTGCCAATCGTGGCCAACCCGTGTACAATCTTGGCAAAATTTCATTTTTCGAATAGGTCTTCCGTTTAGACCCTCGCCTTAGGTCGCCTATTCCCCGCTCCAGGTCTCAACAGACTTTTCCAATCGCAGGCAATAATCGACCATACGACCCATCGACTCAAGTGGAAACACTGTTGTTTTGGAGATCTCGTGAATTCTAGTGTTTTGATGGTCACAAACTCTGCAAAGATATAGAGTACAAGTACTTCTTAGTCGACACAATCAATGCAATGGCGAGTCCGTTACAAACACCTTCTACCAATCATTGGACGATCTCCTAGCTCAGCGGTAGAGCGTCGGATTCCAGTCATTGTATCCCGAAGGTCATCCGTTCAATCCGGGTGGAGATCATTGACCGTTTCACTTTTGAGTTTTTGTCAGCATAGTCGTCAGCACGATAGTTCTTCTCAGGAAACTTCCTGCGTCCCTTCCCCAGTATGAAGTGGCTCTCCACAATGTGAGTGCTCCGTCTAAGCTCTAGAGGTTTGGTTCACGTATCAAGATATCATCAATACAGCTCTTACTACTTTCACTGAAATCGAAAAGGGCGTCAGAATTGCCCTGCTGCCAACAACTGTTACCCAGGGTGTTACTGTTACAGTTTTCTGGTGAACCAAATGAAACCGAGGATTTTATTCTAGGCCCAGGTCCTCTTGGAACCCAAGGTATTATTACTGTAAACTATACAGCAGGATAAGGCGTTGGTTCTGCTACAGTCTCGTTCCTGAAGCCTGGAGAGTACGTACCGACTCATCGCGCTCTTGGGACTGCGTTGTTGACCCAAACTCTTGGAATCTTGTGATTTTAGCAGCACAGACTTTCAGTGATGGGAGGACCTCGTATGTTTTCATCGTTAATTCTGTGTTTTGTCCTAAGGCTGAAAACAAGACGGGATCTTTTTCACGGACACAAACCACAAATATGTGTTTTCTTGCCCAGCCCCAACAGACATCTTCTCAGGCTGGTATTCAAACAGGCGGGATGATATCTTCACATTCACTACCTTCTCTACCCGTTACATCTGTCATATCACGGTCATCGCAACATTCTCCGGACCTTACTACATCTATCTCACTGCAACCTCCTGGCGATCTAGGAAAAAATGCCACATCAAGACGAGACGCTGCGAATCATCGGTTTTGTAGTCGGATCCCTTGTGCTCATGGTTCTGACCATGATAGTCATTTGTGGCTCAGACGACGTCTACTAACGATTAAACCCACATTCATCACTCTCAGGCTACCCGGACACTTTACCAACGATTGAAAAGAAGCGGGACAAATTCATACAAAGAAACCTTAACGGCTTGACCCCCGTCTCGATGACTTGGGTTCTACATATGTCGGGCTCACTTCATTTATTTGCCCTCAAGATGATTTGGGTTACGAGCACTTCTCATATCGTGAGGCAGACAATGACATACCGCAATATGGTCCATTCTTGTGCCGTTACCATTGTTACTGATTCGGTCCATCGAGGTAATATGACTATTGACAGTAATTAGAACAGCTAACGAAATCATTCAAGCGATTCCAGGGAAAAACCACCAAGGTATATCCATCGCATACCTCTCCCACTCCTGCCCAAATGTTTTCTTCATCTGCGTGTCTTCAGCCTGCACCCTGCTAATCCCAACCGCTAATACCCAGCACCACCATGCAGCCCAAATTATCGTCGTCAAGCCCTTCCAGCGGAGCGGTCCACACTCCGTCATCCAGCTCCCTTGCGTAAAATGCGAGAACGTGATACCAGCGACGAGAAGGATGGAACCAGTATAGGCGGGATGTCGGACGTAGGCGTAGAAACGGTTTGTGATAAGCTTGTGGTCCCGATGGATAGTTAGATCGAACGTGAAAAGGTGGCCAAGGACTTTGAAGCAGTCGAGACGGATGTAAGCGCCGAGAAATAGAGCGACACAACCGATGAAGAACATGGGCGAGATGGTTATCTTGTGGCGATTCGGAGATGTGGTACTAGGACACGCAACACTTGCAAGGAACGCAGCGGTGGAGGGAGGTTGAAGAGTGCAGAGGTAGCTCAATGTTTCGAATGCTGAGCAAATCCAGAGAACGATGGAATGTGCCTATCAGTGGTCCATGTCAGCCATATTAGGCGGTATAATGAAAGTGACGACAATAACGCACTCTAAAGATACATGGCGCTATTTGTAAAACCCAATACTCTTCTTTATGATAACGGGTTTGCTCTAGTGTTGGATTCGGAGGTGTCATGGCATAGTGATGTGCAATAGCTTGGGCGATAGTAAGAGATGCTCTTGTGAGAGACATGATGGGGGAACTTTGGAGAGCAATCGGACGTGCGGTCGGTTTATATCCCCAGGCCATTGGTAATTTGTTTTGTCACTTCCGAGCACCGATTCACGGATGACATCATGTCGGCGACTTTTAGCGCCCAGTTGACGCTCATTTTGGAGTTCATGTCAGATTTGACTCGTACCAGGTCAGAATCGACAACGACAACGAAGCTACAAACAATGTTCATTATGCACCTGAATGTAAGCCACAGCATTCGTCCAACATCGCTCAAGACGGCGAATCAAATATCACGGGATGCAGACTAAGACCGCTTCACCTTCAGAATCGTACTTACGATGCTGTAGTTTGATTGTAGCGTACTTAGCGACAAGACAGGTTGACGCCGCGGGCGTCCATGATTGCCCGTATTTTCAGAAACAAAACAAAACGCGGTGGTAAATTGATAGTATTTACCGTTTTTGTGAACGATGAGCGAATGGGCGAATCGTCAATCATTTACCTACACCTTGTCCACCCAGCTCAGAGTACAAAACATCGTCTCCTTGTTTCTGTCCCTTTCGAGCCTTCTTGAAGTGATTCGAGATCAAGAACGCGACGTCTTGCAAAGCAGACAAACAAGATTAGTCATACTCGAAACGGGCAGGAGCACAAGACGTACCGAGACTCTGCTCGAAGTTCAACCGTGGATCGCAGAAAGACTATCACACAAGTATTAGCACCACCTAAATTTGCGGTACAATCGACGTACCTGGTACCTCAACCCAAGTTCATCCTCACTGAGCTCCATACTTCCACCGAGGCATTCAGTCACGCTGAACCCTTCGTCATTTAACTCCCCAGTAAACTCTAAACTCACACCACCCAACCGAGAGTTATTCTCAGCATGAATGCGGAGACAGGACGTCAGTTCACTAATAATGGTGGCAAAATGACGTGTCTTTAAACCCGTGGACGAGGTGAGCGTGCTGTGTACCATTTCCGATGAGCATAACCTAAAAAGGGGAGGCAACGAAGGCTGCTTACTTTCCATGCATCGGATCACAAACCCAGATGACGGGATGACCAGATTCTTGGATGGCTTTAATGTGGTTTGTGAGATAATTGTCGATCTGCATAGATGTCCCGAGATTGAGTCTGTTCTAGAAATAACAAGGTTTGGGGATTAAGACGTACCTTTCCGGCGCCATAACGAGTTATCAGAGTAACTCTGCCAGAGTCTCGTCCGGGGTTGACAACTATCACAGGACCAAGATTAGCCAAAGAATGGAAACGAGCCACAGAGCATGATGTGTAATCAAATGCAAAACAATCCAAACTCACTTTCAAGCAACTTGACTAGCTCGTCCGAGGCCATGGAGGGACCAACTTTGATTCCAATAGGATTTCGGATACCTCTAAAGTACTCAACATGTGCACCCTCAAGCTGCCTTGTTCGATCTCCAACCCAGATGTAATGCGCCGAGGTGTTGTAGAATGCCTTCTTTTCGCCTCCTGTCACCACAGTGGGGGGGATAGGAAACTGTCGCGTGAGTGCTTCTTCGTAGTCGAGCATGAGGCCTTCGTGACTGCGAACGTAGAAGATGAAGCCAACATGATCCTTTCGACGAACGCACTGAAAACACGGTCTCACCTGGTGTAGAAATCAACTTCTCCAAGTGTACCACGACCACCACCTCTCTCAAAGGAAGCGCTATTTTCTGCTCCAATGGTTCGGCTGAAATCCAGTGCATCCGAAAGATTCTCCACGATCTGTTCAAATTCTTTTCTATTGGAATAGAAACATCCGTAAGCTGGATGAGCAAAAAAACACACAGGCACGACGTACCGAAGAGATGGGGAGCGAACATGATTAAGTGACCAATCACTGGGATGATGGCCATGGAGGGACGCAAATCCCGAAGTCAGAAGTCCTCGTACATAATTTAACGTGGCGGTGGAGTGGAAGTATGCTCTATAGAATTAGGATTATGCTGGTCATTTCCAATGTAGACAAAACTGATGCCATACCGCAAGAGTCTATCTGGATCAGGTGTACGGTCGTTGACATCCAATCTTCGAAGGGCGGTAAGCTATTGAATACATGAAGGAGAGGCCTTAGAGTATACCCATTAACATTATCACCCCTAAAAACCACCTTTATTGACACGCACAGAACAACTGAGAGGAGACCATACCTAAAGCTCAACACTTCTCGATCTCCAACCTTTTCGGTCTGGCTACTTCTTGGTTTCGCATACTGACCAGCGATTCTCCCAATACGAACCTACATCCTCAAAGTCATTACGAGATCCTCGTGCGTAAGCCCATTATACTGACCACTGGAAGCCGTGCGCCCCAGATGAGGATCAAAGAAAAGGAAAGAATCAATCCAATCTTTGCCGAAATATTCTCCTGGGAACGAGTCAATGAATGAATCGCGTTGGGATTGGGCTATGACGTACATTGGTACAAGCATCAAAACTCTCTGCGCAGTCTCCAGCGTGCAGAAGGAAAGCCTCATTGCGCTGAACGAGACCAAGTTGGTAGCGAAGTCGCTCAATCTGCGGAATAGTGGGCAACGTTTAGCTTCAAACCCGCGGTTTCGAGCACTCAAAGAGTACATACCTCGGAGGGAGTGACTAAGGGTGGTAAAGTACCCAACTTGGTGAGCACACTGCCAACGAGGTACTCTTGATTAACTAGGGGGCGGCACGCAAGACGCAGCCTGGTTTACACACCTCGACAGCTTCTCGTTATCACCGTACTGAACATCCTGAAGAGAATCTTAATGAACGTTCGCAGGGAGGAGGTTCTGGAAGGTGCTCACCTGCGCGATTGATTTGGATTTCCATGAAGATGGCGACCACGATAAATCACTTTTCGTTGACATTCTACCTTTGTATTGCTTGATCTGAGGGATCGGCCCGTGGAAGAAAGATGAGAGACAGTAGGAGAGGTAATGAAAGGAGTCAAAGCTCAGGTCAGGCTATATTTGTGAAGAGCAGAAGCGAATATGGATACGAACACGTTTCTTGATGACTGTTTTGGGAGAAGGTGGATGAGCGTGGGAATGTGTCGAGTCACAACCCTACTCCG